GCCTTGTATGTCACCTTGATGTGCCAATATGAGGAAAGAATGCAGAACCCCAAAACTACAAGAAGCCAACATGATAAGAGTAACCAATTGGGCTCCATTCAAGGGGTCTGGTATAAAAAAAGCTTCATTTCTTTATTAGTTGCTCCTTCTTATTCAAATCAGGTCTCAGAATAATGATATAGCATTTGGGGAAAAAGATGCAGCACAGTAATCCAGCTGCTGAAGCCAAAATGGAGAAGATCTCCACCGCCACCATGTATTTCCCCTTGGTGCTCAGATAAGTTGGAACAAAGGACACCCAAACACTGCAAAAGACCAACATACTGAAGGAGATAAATTTGGCTTCATTGAAGCTGTCAGGTAAATTCCTAGCTAGGAAGGCCACGGTGAAGCTGACTGCAGTCAAGAACCCCATAAAGCCAAGGACAACACAGAACATTGTGGTTGATCCTTCATTACATTGCAGAACAGTTTCTTCAGCCATGGAGTGCATGTCAGAATCTGGGAATGGGGGAGAAAGTGCCAGCCACACTACACAAATGGAGAATTGTGCCAGAGAGCAAGATAGGACAATAGAAATCGCCAGCCTTTTCCCCACCCACTTCCTCATTTGGGAGCCTGGTTTGGTGGCCATGAAAGCAAGAACAACAATGGTTGTTTTCTCCAAGATACAAGAAAGAGCTACAGAGAAGATGATGCCAAAAGCCATTTGTTGCAAGAGACATTTCCCTTAGTCAGGTTGCCCAATGAAGAGCAAAGTGCAAAGGAAGAAGGAGAGCAGGAGAGCAATGAGAAGAATGTAGGTGAGGTTCCTGTTGTTGGCTTTGACTATGGGGGTGTTCCACTGTTTAATAAAGATACCTAGCATGAACACTGAGATGAAAGAAAAGGAAACTGAGATCACTACTAAAGAAATCCCCAAAGGCTCTTGATAAGTCAAGTAAGTTATGCTTTTTTGAAGGCAACTCTCCCGATCCTTGTTTGGATATTGATCTTCTGGACACGGGAAACAGTCATCTACGTCTGGGGATAAAAACAAAACAAAACTGTTCACAGAACCACAATTGGTTTTAAGCAAGAAGAATTAATCACAGACTAGACCTGTAAAGTACTATGACTTACATATGGATTTGGATTATTTTTTCTTAAAATAATTTAAAATGCAATGCATATTGTGTTGCAGTGTTCAGGGTCAATATGCCCTCAGTTATACAGCTATTTCTAAATCTGAATATGATACTTTTATTCTCTATTATAGCCCACATGCACGGAAACTGGATAGAATAGGAAGTAAAAAGTGTAGAATCAAGAAGGAAAGATGTTGTATGGATAGAATTATTAGAGTCAAATTATGCAAATTTACCTTTACTCCAAAAAATTAGATACAAAGGGAGCATTGTGGATTGTCGCTCAATAAGCATTGCTTTCCTGCAAAACTGTTCATAATTCTTCAAGGAAACATAAAAAGAGACAATTCAAATCTAAGAAATCCATTGATCCTTAAGGAAAATTATGCTATTTTGACTGAACTGTACCATCAAATATTTCACTGAACTATGAACAAACAAATAATCCAAGTTTTTCATTGCTCATCTATACAACTTGAGGTAAAGCTCAAGATTTTCAGTCACCATAGTATTGATTAAAAATTCAGCCCCCATTTATACTTATTGAATTATTGATATATTTAATATATTCCTTCACTTACCCATTTGGTCAGCTATCTTCCCTTCTGGACACAGTCTACAATCATAGCAGCAAGATAATTTCCCTTCCACTTTTATCTTGCTATGGCCTAAAGGACATTTCTTGTTACAGATGGAAAGAGGCAATGTCTGTTAATAAATAACATTTATATACATTTTATTTATTAACAGACATTTATATAAATTTCTGTTAAATAATAACAGAAACTAATATTCAGTTAGAGAAAAAGTACCGAAAGAAAGAACAAAGTCAAAAGTGCAGAAAAGAAAGAAAAAAGAAATATAAAGAAATGTCTTCTGATTTTCTTTTACAACAGTTACAGTTATAAATTTAAATTGACCTCTGACTCTATGATTACAATGTAACTTCCATCTTCTCTGTCATCTACTTTTTTTCTAATCATCAAACCCATATATCATAATTTCATTTTTTGTATAGCTATATTGTCCAGTATCTCCCTCTTGAAGTTTCAAAATCTTTTTCTTTTCTTTCTCTTGCCTTAATTTATATGCTAACTGTTTCCCTGGTCTGTTCACAAATTCAGCATTCTTTTGCTTTGCATAGTTTATCTTTACTTTCATTTCTCTTACTGTTAGCACAGATAGCTATTGCTATAAAAGTCTAATTTAATGTGTAATGCTTATCTTCTCTGGCAATTTCTTTAATTCTTCCTGTTTTCTTTTTGTCTCATCCAGAATAGCCTGTGTTTTCTCTTAGGTCTTCTTTTTAAGTTTAATATTATGTCCAAACTTAGTATTCTAAAGATCTGTTCTGGGGAAATCAGAACTGAAAGCTGGTGTGGGAGAGATTTTAAGTCCTTAAGAGTCTTTTTTTTTTTAAGCAGAGGGTGGGTGGGAGTGGGTGGGTTACCAAGAGCTATTTCTATGCTTGGTACAATGTGGTAAAGTTCATATTGAATAAATATACAAAACAATTCATAATTAATGATAGTTAAAAATATCAGACTACCATGAAATCCACAGATGAAATGACAGAAGAATTTTATCTTTATTGTCTTTTCTAATAAAATGTATGAAATGATGCTACTGATGTTGTATGGGTTTACTTTTCCTTTGATACCCAATGCCATATTTCATTTTAACCTTCATGAACTTTTCATGACAGCCATCTGATTTTCAAAACAGAGCTATTTTCAATCTGGCTGCTACTAGCAGAGTAATTACGTTTTCTGGGGGGTTGTTGGCTTCTTTGAAGCTTGGAGCAGATTGGAAACAAATGGATTTTGGTCTTCTCTTAAATGATTTGCAGATATTAGTCATCATTGCCTCACTCACCTGTTTCTAAAAGCTGCTTCCTTTAGGGACAGCCACCAAACATTAAAAAGAGTTTCTTTTTATACAAAGATTCAACAATTTGGGGAATATGGCTCTGTGAAATTATTAAAGTGAACTGGGGTATGATGCCATTTATAAATCAACTTTGGAGTTTTCTTTTAGAAAACAGGAATCAGGTCAGAAAGCAGTTGTCATATTCCTTCCCTCACTGGTTGGTTTATGTTTCATTTTAAAGAAATATCTGCCCCCCTCTTTTTAAATGACTTTTATGGATAGTATGCAATCATATTACTCCACTTGGATTAGCATTAGTTAGCTGGACAGAGAGACAGAAAGGATCTCCAGAAGAAGCTCGCTGTTTTTGTTATATATTTCAGAGTTTCTGCTCCTGATTTCATCCATTTCAGGGGAGGCAATTATGAATTTAACTCTCAGGAGATGAAATCACAAACTAGGTATATGCCATTTTTAAAAAATATTTCCATTTTGTTTCAAAAAATGATTCCTTTCTCTTAAGCTACAGTATACACATTTCTAGAATGTCATTATTTTATTAATGCAGTTAGAAACACATCCTCCATATTAAGATAGCTTTGCATTGGAACTAAGGAAATATTAAAGGGTATAGAAATCTTAAGCCACCTCTTACTTCATATCACATCCAAAAGAAAACATTAATTTGAGGCTGCTAAATAGCTTAATCCAAATGTTGTTGGCTTTTTAAAAAATAATTTATTGACATGGGTCAGTGGCTAAATGATTTCATAAAAATTGAAAAATGAAACCCACCTGGTTAAATATGGGGGGCCAAACAGCATCCTTGGCAGAAATGGTGAGAAGATTCCCCGGGGGAGCCATGGGGTCAATCTTTCCAACTTGTACTCTCAGAAAGGAGTTGTTTGGGAATGTGACCCAACTGAAAATATCAAATCCAGTTAATAATTCTCCATTAGGGCCAAAAGAAATCTGTTCTCCGGCACTGTTGTTAAAGGAGACTTGCTGCAGAAAATGGTGAAGCTGAATGAAGAAAGAAAGAAACAGAAATATTAACTGTATTCCTTAAATTATATGGACAAATCTCAGTTCTTTCAGTTTGGGTTATGCTCAATGGAAAGTGAAATTTTGCATCAATCTACACTATTTACAATTGGAAAAGAAGTTTGCTCTCTGTCACATGCATTTTCTACTCTATTGCCTAAATTATTTCAGCTGAAAAATTGTCAGGTGAGAATTCCAACACAAAATTGCAAAAGGGAGAAAACTGACAGATCACTTTGCTCTGATGAACTGAGCATTTCAGGAATTGTGAATTCCATTTGCTGGCATAAAATGTAGACAAGATAAAATTCTCCAGCATAGAAAATTCTAGGGCATGATGGCCTTTCCTTCCAGCTAAGAGGTTATCTTTAAACAAAAATTAAAAGGTAATTTAAAACAAATTGAAATTGAAATTTCCTTCATGCAATTCATTGACAAATTTGCTATCTGCTTGAACTAACACTATTCATGTTTTCACAAGATTTGTTGTCATCTCTCTTTTTATTCCCTTTGAGTCTTAGACTCTCCAAAATTACGTTAGTGAGGATTAACAATGCTACTGAGTAGCAAAGCCACTTTCAAGGAATTACATTTGAAATTGTCATATATCATGGATTTAATAAGTTCTGGTATATGCCATTTCATACATAAAAATACTTTGTAAGGTTCACATTTTACATATTTTAACTGTCCCTATAGTTTAAAGAAATTCCTTTTCAAATTCTATCTGGTACTGTACAAATGACCTGAACACTGAAATAACACTGGAAAAAAATAATAATAGGTTTTTCAATTTTTATTTTCCTTTATATTGACAGTACCAAGTATTTTCAAACAGCATTCAAAACTATCTGTAAAATATCTTTCCTATTAAGTGCAAAAACGAAACAAAAGAAAACAACCATTACTGTTTACATGAACTGATAATTTTCCCAAATTTTGCATTAGCCAGCATTACCTGCCATGGTGATTGAAGCAAGAGCTTCCATCTCCTCTAATCAATTATTCGACTGTCTTTGGGTTTGGAGGAGCTCATGGCCTTCAGAGCATGTGCCACAGCATAGACTGCATTGTAGATGCTGTAACTCTGACCCCTCATGGTGCTCTCAAACACAGAATTAGGAAGAGTCTCCAGCTTCTCTTCTCCAGTGCAGATGCTTTCAGCATTCCCGTCTGTCATCTCACTGGAGAATGAGCATTCAAATGCATCTTTCCAGAAATCCCTAATAAAACCATCTTCTTTTTCAAAATTTGGATTTCTGTTCCATATAAATTGTGTGAATCCTGTCAGCTCCTTTGAGTGAACTGCAAAGGAAATAGCACCATGGAGAAAATCAATGGGCAACTCTATTTGCAGTAGAATGGAGATGAATTCCATCTGAGCTGCATGATCCAAACTTTCACTTTTCTCTTCTTTGGAATATCATCAGAATCAAACCCAGAGATCATTAGTCTCAAAGGCACCATACCTGTAATTTCAGCATTCAAGATTACTGCAATGACTGTACTCCCCATGATCACTCTGTATAATTTATCTGCCTCCTCCACCATTTCAGCAGCTTCATTACCATACATCATTGTGGGGAGGCATTCCATAAAATCAAAGCAGATTCCTCTCTCTGAAAACATGGACAGGCTCTTTTGAATGAACCTGTCTTTATCTTCCTGATATGGAGAAATCAACCCAACCCAGGTCCATTCAAAATGCAACAGTAAGTGCAGTATTCCTTTAAACTGGTGCATGTCATCTGGGAACATCCATCTGACAAAATGTGCTGCTGTTTCATTATTTATTAATGGAGCCGATCCATATGTGATCTAAATGGTGGGAAGAAAGAAGAACAAAGGCAAAAAGGGACTTTTCCCCTCCCCCCCCCAAAACATGTGATGCTGTATTTAACCCAATCTCTGGGTTTGAGTGGGATACGGAAAGAGGGTTCCTTAAAACTACAGTTTTACAACTCGACATCTGCAAGTTGTATTGCTCATCAAGCAAAAAGGGATAGCCCTTTGTTGATATTCTTCATATCTCATGAATTTCTCATCTTACCTCAAATATTTAGGCCTTCTGGAATTGTTTTCATAAGAGTTATCATGAGGACCCAACATCTGAAATAATAAATAGCTTGTGAACTTCCCATCTTGCTCCATTTTTGTTCTCACCTGAGGAAACTTGTAGTTGCACAGAGGGGTTGCCATGTTGAGATAGGTCTTAGTACGGGGTCCTCCAATGACAGCTACTGTATTGGTCTGGTCATTACACTTGTAGTTGGGGATAAACTTATCTTTTGTAGATAGAAATTTCAGGGGTAAAAGATAAGTTGAACTTTCCTCCGGATAGTCGGTAGCGATGTGGAAACCGAGGCTAACATTGGGTAAAATCTCAGAATGTTCATTGATCTCCTTTACAGCAAATGCCAGAGCCAAAGTGTGTTGGTAATTATGAGTGAGGAACCTTCAGTGAGAGTTATAAACTATGTCAATATATTTTTGCTTCAGAATCAGATACTTGCCATTTTTAATTGTTGCATATATTCACACACACACAAAATTGAGGACTCATTGTTTACTTTAGACACCTGGAATTTGGTCTTTAGCAAATAATAGCCCTACATTGTATGGATTGTGAGGCACTGATGTGGGGCAGAGGGTATCTAACATAGAGCTAAGGTAGTATTCGATTTCAGTTTTATGTGTACTTTGTCTTTTCCTAAAGGTAGGAAGCCAGTTGCATTTTCCCACACTAGACTTGTAATAAACTGAACTAGTTTCTCAAAGGCAATTGAGGGTTTCTTGCTTCATTTGTGGGTGAGATGAAAGGGAGTACAGCTCAGGATTAACCAAAGGGCTTTTGCCAAGCCTAGATTAGCCAAACTTTTCTTTGTAACAGAGGACTTTGTTGAAGGAAGGAAGTTTCCTGAGGAAAAAGTAATTCATATCATTCATGGTTCAAATCAATAGTAATTGCCTCAATTTAAACTTCAGTGTTAGGACAGGCTACGTTTCTGTGAGCTCCAAAATTAAAGATGGCTAAATATGGCCATTGAAACTAGTCATACTGACCAACTAGCAACCAGTACGTTTGAGCAGAAAACTGACAGGAAACACAGCATTTAGGTGGCAATGGGGGGGCGGGGGAGGAGGAGGAGGAGGAGGATACTTACAGGTACTGATCAAGCACTTCATGAGAAGGAACACTTTGAAAAGTGATCTTGTTTGAAAGAAAGGAAACCTGATAAATAATAGCAGCAATGATTAAGTCTCCAGACTGATAATACTTGTGAACAATTGGAAGAGGACCACTGAGGTTGCAATTGCGAATGGGAGAAATGAACATCATGTTAGGAAAAAAGAGTAAAATCAGTGTTCTAAATATTACCAACTCACTATAATATATGATCATTTTAGAATGAACAGTACCTCCTATGTTATCATTCAGCTAAGGTACTGGGTTGGCCCCTCATTAACATTATCACAGATAAAGCACAAATCCTTCTTTTTCTTCCTACATGCAGTTCTGTATTTCTGAGCAGATATTAATGTAGTCTAGGGTCATAGTTTTGTCAGTGTCTGCTGGAATTCCCTTGAGACATGGAGAAGAAGGGACCATGACTATACTTAATTAGTAATTAGTACTATTACTTGCAATAGTACTTTGAAAAATGTCAGAAGGAAACATGCTTATCATATCTCAGTAGAAACTGCTGCACTGCTATGAACCTTTGGAACTAAGACAAGATGTAGGAAATGGGGGAATGAGAGATCATATGCACAGAAGAAGAAAACAAAACACAGAGGGAAAAAATAATAGAAATGCATCTGTTGGGGTCATTTTGCCCACCTCTTTACTTAATACAGGATCTACCTTGAAAATTAGTACTATAACAATTACTTAAATTCTAGAAGGACATCATCCTGGAAGATGATGTCAATAGGAAATGGGGCTCAGGAATGGGGGCTGAGCCTGTTATGGTGGATTTATGCTTCCCCAAAGAGCAGGTGAGCATTTTCAGAGTGCTTCTTGATATTCTGCTATCTCTTGTTCTCCAGATCCTGCAGCAATCAGGAGAATACTTGTGGTGCCGCACCTGGCATGCCAGCTATGACCACTCCAGTGGCAGACTGATTAGGCCATGTTTGTGACTTCCCTAGCTTTCCTCACTCATCAGTTTACTCTCATTCTTGACACTCTGGAGGATACAGTGACACTTAAAAGTTTGTGAACCCATTTGAATTTTCAATATTTCTGCCTAAATATGACCTAAAACATGATCTGTTCTCCACACAAGTTCGAAAACTAGATAAAGAGAACCCAATGGAACAAATGAGTCAAAAACATTATACTTGTTCATTTATTTATTGAGGAAAATGATCCAAAGCTATAGATTTTTGTGTGTGGCAAAAGTATATGAAACTTTGCTTTTCAGTAACTGGTGTGCCCCCCCGGGGCAATAACTTGGTGGTTGGAACATAAACTGGAATGATTGTCATATTAAGGGGTTGTCCATGAAATCTAATTGATGTTATTTGGTCATTGATTGCATTGTAGCCAAGTACTGTTGGGCTATACCCTCACTAAATATAAAAGGAACACTGTTTCTTCTTCGTTTTTCATGTCCTGAGTAACAGCATTGTCTTCTGATGAAAGTGTCCAATCCAAGTCCATCTCAATTCACTAATGCTTAAGAGGTCAATCTGCAGTTCTTTCATTTCATCTTTCACTGTGTTGAGCTTTCCCGTGTTCATGTTTCTGATGTTCCACATTCCTTCTATCATTCTGTCTTTACAAATTCAGATTTTCTTTTCCTGCATGGGAACATAGCGAAGGCTTTAATTTACAATAGGCATGTTATAAACACCATTAGTACTCTGAAAGATCTTCAGTTCTTCCTCAGCAGCGTGTTGAGTGCCATCTGACCTGAGGGGCCCATAATCTATATTGTCAATCATTCTACATTTTTATCCACGTGGCTTTCTTGGTAAAAATACAGGAGTGGTGTATCATTGCCTTTTCCTGTGCTGTATTAATTGGTGCCTTTGTCACTGTCACTAAAGTGATCATCTGCCTCTGGCATCTTCCTATAATGCTGCCACCCAAGATAAGTGCCTGCTTGTTTGAGCTGGGCAGCTGGGATGATCTTTAGATGTTGGGTGACCCTGCTGGGAATAGATATTCATGGCATACACTCCCAATATTTTTCACTCATCCCACCCAGGAACACCCACCACCACCACCATTATGAGGCAGTATGGCAGGACTTGAGGTGGAGGGGGGAGCCCATTTAATACTTCTGCTATATGAGTTGCACTGCTTGCCAGCGTCTCATCTATTAAGCAATGTCCCTTATAGGACCTAGGAAGCACTTCTTTTGTGTTGCAGAGACCTCCAATCCTTCAAGACTTTAGATGGCCTTAAAAACCTCAGGCTCTGTGATAGGTCAGTGATGTGCTCATTTGTTAAGTCCTCTTTGCCTTGGTTGCAATATGTATTTCCTTCTGTCATATGAACTGTCATCTAGGTGGTTGTTATTTAGATATTATACTAGGTTTAATTGTACTGTTAGTCAGTTTTGAGGTAACCTTATAAATTCAAAGAAGGAAGGAAGGAAGGAAGGAAGGAAGGAAGGAAGGAAGGAAGGAAGGTCCTTTCCAATTTAACAACATTTTGAAAAAAAAAATTGTAAAGGGATTGGGATACTACCCATTACTCTGCAAAAACTGAATAAAATGGAACCAGATCTGCTATGAGAAGAGAAGTTGGCAAAAGAAAGATTGAGCACAAAAATGACCTAGATCAGACTAGAGTCTGCAGAGTGAGAGAAAATAAATCCAGATAAATTTCCCCAACGGATCCCTTATGGAAGTGGTAGCCATGCAGTGCCTTGTAATGTGGGTGACTAAATAATTCTGAGCACCTTTCTCTTCCTTCCTTATCGCACGACCCAGAGCATAGGCATCAGCCCATCCTGTGTTTTCCAGTGCAGCTATACATACAAACACACACACAGTAGGTTCAACACACTTCTTTATTTAGCAGATGATTTCCATGGCCACTGCTGGTAAAGTGTTGGAAAGAATTCAGAAGTCATGTTCTGCATGCTTTCCTTATCTTGCTTTAATATCAGAAAATACATCAAGTTCAGCATATCATTATATCACTTAGAAACAGAGAAGATGCTATGACCTATAGGGAAAGCTATTCCAGACTCCAGAAGATGAAGAATGATAAAGGATAGCCACACATGAAGGAAGGAACACTGATTTGATAGATTACAAACAATAATATTCTTTGGCTGCTGGAAGTGAAAATGAGTTACTAAAATGGCAACAGTAGGCAGAGGCTTGTATAGCAGCAGTCATTTGGCATTATAGTTAAGTGGTAGAGTGAGTGTCTTCTGAAAAATGAAGGCTTTGACTCAGTGATAAAGGAGCAATCAAGTGGGTGCAGATCTAACTTCTGCAGGCAGGGCGTTTCATAGTTCAGATGAAACTTTGAGCTTTCTCCTGTCCTAATCAAATGGGTTTCCACCACAGTTGCATCCCAAAGATCTCCAGAGTAGAGAAGGTAGTTTGATATGAGAAATAAGTAGGTAATATGGTAGTAGTCTGCTAGTAGAGAAGGTAATCTACCAGACAGGTAGTCTGGTAGGTGGAAGGTGATTTTGACATGAATTCCATGACAGAAGAAATTGTCCTATAATGTAATGAAGGGTTATTACATCTTGCCCTTTATGGGCTTTCTGGCTACTATCAGCTTCAGAGTGGCCTTCCTAGCCAGGAGGTTACTTGAGAGAGTTTCTGGTTCCAGTGCAGCAATAGATATTAGTAAGACTTTTTTAACAAACCTTTTTCAGCAATGGTCCTAGTAAAATTCATAAGCATGATATCTAGGTGTTGAAAGTAGGCAATAGGTACCGGGTAAGGGAATAGGCCCATGGGCTGCTCAACCCTGCTTTATTGTTTACCATTATGAGTTAAAGCAAGTTCAATTAGGTTGATACACACACACACTATCTATATCTATATTCTCTCTCTCTCTCTCTCTCTCTCTTTCTCTCTCTCTCTCTCTCTCTCTATATATACACACACACACACACACACACACACACA